GTCCTCTTTTGGAAGACCAAACAAAGTAGTTTCGCTTTCACAATGAAACACACAGCGTCTTCACGACATGGCGGTGGCAACAACAATACTACAGCGAGAATAAAAGTTATGCCTTCTTTCTTTGCGTGAACATTTGGGCGGCGTTATGCAAATCTTCCCACATTGTGACGTAGATATGTGGGGGCGTGTTAGAACGAGCCATTTTAGGTAGGTGTGGCTGACTCAACCTTTATAAAGAATATCTCTTTGGATTTGAGACTTTAGTCTTTGCAACTTTACAGATCTTCTTTATGCACCAAGAGCTTGTAACACTCCAAAGAGAAAGAAAAATTGAAATCACATAATATGACCCCTTTAAATGGTTTGGCTCCTTCCATACTTCGTGATTTTGTGCATTTTCGCTCTACAGTCTCTGTAAGATCTACTAGATCATCATCTACTAGTGATTGTTTTGTTCCTTTTCATCATTCTGTCTTTGGATCATCATCTTTCTCAGTAACGGCTATTATTCATTGGAACACTCTACCAGAAGACACAAGGTGCAATCTATTGACATTTTTAAACTAAAACTAAAATCTTATTTAAAATCAACTCAACTCTGTAAACACTAACATGGTTGTGGACATTTTAAAATTAAAACTAATCTTATTTCAAATCAACTCAACTCTGTAAACACTGACATGGTTGTGGTTTAACTGGAGGCTATCTTTACTGTTCTTTTTGGCTCTGATAGGATGTGTGCAAGTATTACTGTATTGTATGTGTTTGTTGTCTTATGTTTTTATGTTTACTCATGATTATGATTACCTGCCAAGGGACCGCGGATGAAAACTAGCCACTGGCTAATTTCGGTACAATGCATGAAATGGAAACATTTATGTTAAAATTGTGTATGGTCCCTTTTCAAATAAATGTAAAGGTTCCTTATCGGTTACGATTTATTACGTTTGAGGAATAAATATTTAGGGGTAAAAGAAATGCAATTCGTATAGCAATTTCTCCCCTTAGATATATATAAAAATATATATATCAGTAACAGTAAAAGTTCATTGTTCATTTCGAGTCGGACTTGACGAAAAGTAAGTTACTTGCGGTGCAGCATAGAATATTCAGTTTTTAGATGAGAAAAATTGTACAAACGAGAATATATAATCTACACACACACACACACACACACACACGTATATAAAAATGACAAATAAACTTTGCACATTTGCATACGTTTTTGCTTTCATATGTTTCCAAATACGTCTTAATGTCAATGTTATATAATTTGTTCAAACATAGGCATTATTTAATTCCATTTGACATTGTGAATAATATAATAACCAGTCATTATAACAATTAAATCAAACAAACGCCCTATTGACATGTATCTGATTCATTAAAAAGAACCGATTCATACGAGTCAACCTATCGTTCTATCAAACAACAATAACGTGAATGCATGTTCGAAACCCTTCAACAGAACCTAAATTGAGGAAAATCATTCGGTTTCTTTATTATTTTAACTCGGTTCTCAGTTCACAGATTTGCGTATAACAGGATGCAAATGGAAAAAAACCGGACATTATATCTTTCGCTTTCACTTTGTATCTAAAGTTACAAAACATTTCAGTATGTCTTCTCATGTTACACTCCTTAATACCAATAACTACAAAAAGTACTGAGCCTGAAAAGATACACATAATCCCTATACATTTCCAAAGGGTATCATTCAGCAGCACATAGACGTATATTCCATACCTTTATAAAAACTCACAGCAAAGAGCAGCACAGCCAGCATGCCCATCCACGAGCGCGCCATTATTATCGATCTAAAGCTCTCTCAAACCGCCTGCCACATGGGCTGTTCGGACCCACCACCGGCTATAAGCACTCAAACCCAGTCCTTTGGACGCTGTCAGGATCGGTATCATATGACTTCAGTCAGCTGACGAACAGGGAAGTAAACAGCAGTTATTCTCTTCCACACCAAAAGAGAGCAGCAGAGTGTGTGAGCGCGACCGAAGCCCCTGTTTAAAACAGTGAGCGCCTCCATCGTCCTCATTGACAATATACTGCTCAGGCATGGCCACCTCCAGTCTCAGTTCTGTCAGGGTTAGATTGTACTTTGATTATACTCCTCCTGCGACACCTGAGTGTCGGATGTGTTGGTTGCTGGTGGACTTAAACAAATGCCGAGTTGTCGCAGATCTTTCCAGCATCATAAAGGAAAAGTTTGGCTACAGCCGTAGGACTATTTTAGACTTGTTCATTGAGGATTGCTACCTGCCTTCCACAGAAAGTATTTATATTGTACGTGATAATGATAGCATAAGGTAAGAACTGTATTATGTAATAATATGGCGAACGTTTAGTTTAGATAACCTTTTTAATGTTGATAACTATTTATTTATCATGTCTATTGACAGGGTGAAGGCATCCAATGCTGTTTACATTAATGGAGAAGAAGTTTACCAGAACTCTGAAGCACAAAACTCAAAGACCAAGAAAAGAGGGAGAGATGATGAGACGCAGATCAGCAAAGGTCTAAGTAAAAAAAAGAAACATGAAGGTGCGCAAATCAATGGCTCTGCACCAGCAGAGGATGCCAAGAAGAAGAAGAAAAAGAAGAAAGAGGTAAAAGAGTCAGCCGCCAAACCTGCAACCCCTCAAAAGAACACTGAAACCCCGTCTTCTACTAAAAACAACAGAAAAGGCATTTCTGCTGTCCCTACCAGTGACAAAACAACTCGTGCCAAGACTCAGCAACCAACGTCAAGTTCTTCGGACAGCAGTGAGGATGAGTCTCACAGTAAGGCCCCTCCACCAAAACCTAAACCCAAGCAGAATGGCACTGCCAAAAAGCCACGGAAAGAAAGCACATCGTCTTCGGATGACAGTGACACAGAGAAACCCAAAAGCAATGTTCCTGTACAGTCGCTTCCGGTTACACCTAAACTATCTAGCACGACCTCAAAACTTCCACTACAGACCCCACAACGCAGAGAGAGCTCCACAGATTCCTCTTCCTCATCCTCATCACCCAGCCAAGCCAGACCTACAGCTAAGAAATCACAAGTAGCAACTCAGCCCTCCTCAGCTACAGCTCAGTCTGTCTCATCTTCGGTGTCTAAAAAGCCCCAGGATAAGGCAGAGAGCTCAGACTCTGAGGCCAGTGAAATAGAGCTTGTGATTAAGAAACCAAACCTGCAAGGGATGGGATTGAAAATTGCTGGTTTGAGCCCTGGTGTTAGTGAGGCATCAGGCAGGGACAGAGGAAACACAAGAGGTCAGGAGAGAGGCAGAGGTCGAGGTGCGAACCGAGGCAGTGGGAGAGGAGGTTTTGGTAGGGCCAAGGGAACACCGTGGAAACAAGACTTGCATTACAACTATGAAAATGGCGAGCGGCAGAAACAGAACGATTCTCTGACTAATGAAAGTTTTATTCTGCAGGTGAGTTGAAAGTGAAGATGTGGTTTAAGAAGAAGCTACTGTTACCCAATTTTTTTCCAAAAGAATTGCAAGAAAAATTGCCTCTAATCTAAGGTTTTCAACCAGGGATCTGTGGATAAGATATACAAATCATAAACAATTTTCTTAAAAAAAAAAACTTCTTGGTATTTGTTTGCTTATCAGGTCATTATGTAATGATAATCAGTGTTTTTTGTTTACAAAAAAAAACTAGATTTTCTCAGTAAAATTAAAAAAATATATAATATACATTATTTATATAATAAACATTTTTGTGAAAAGAGACTGATTGAAATCTAGCTTTATGCTGGTCAGTGAAGGTTGAAAACCCTTGCTCCAGATAAAACATTTTCATATGTCCAGACCTGGACAACGTTTTCAGCTAATTGTTATTAGTTTTTCATTTTTTTTAAATTAAGTAATTTCTATTTATTCATTAATAATATATATTCTAAATAATAAATACATAATTATATATTTTTATTTTTTTACACTTTAATCACTAACCATACAGGTAATTTTTTGTTCTTGTAGAATCCACCTGAAATAGCTCCTAGACGGGACTACGCAGCTTTACCCTTGCTGGCAGCTCCCCCTGCAGTGGGCCAAAAAATCGCCTTTAAGGTACAATGTGATATGATAATAGATATACCTCAGTTTGAATGTTTTAAATACCTGGCTAGTTTTTCTAGATTCAGTGCCCACGTGTAAGTCTTTGAGTTTCTCATGGTTCTCTCGTCTTAAAGCTTTTGGAGCTGACTGAGAACTACACACCAGAGGTGTCTGATTATAAAGTAAGCCATCATACACTTCTTTAATGTAAACTGTTGTGTGTAATGTAAATTAACAGTTTGCTGTTGTTATTTAGGAAGGGAAGATTATTGCATTCGATCCTCAAACAAAAGTGATGGAGCTTGAACTTCTTTCTCAACCTCAAGGTATCGCCAAAACACTTTTTATGTTTGCCACTGTTTCAGTTCTATAAATTTGAAGCCTGGAGGTTTGCAGCTGCTTTATTACACACTAGAGTGCACTCTTCCTTCTGCAGCAAAACCTTATTTTATTATGTGTCTTTTAGCTCCAGCTGAACCTGGCAAGTTTGACCTGGTATATCAGAGCCCTGATGGATCCGAGAGAGTAGAGTATGCTGTCACACATGGATCACAGGTACTGAAATAAGAAATAGGCATCTAAAAATGAAAATCTACTTACCCTCAAGTCATTCCATGGAACAGATTTGAAGAAAATGTAGCATTACATCACTAACTCACCAGTGGATCCTCTGCAGTGAATGGGTACCGTCAGAATGAGAGTCTAAACAGCTGATAAATACATCACAATAATCCACACAATTCCAGTCCATCAATTAATATTTTCTTTGTGTTGATAAGAAACAAATCCATCATTAAGACATTTTCAACTTCAAACTGCTGCTTCAGGCTAAAATATGAGTTCTATAATTTTGTGTCTCCAGTGAAAGTATTGTCTCTTCTGAATCAGGAGAGAAATATGCATAGATAAAGCATGGGTTTCAAGCAAAAACAGTTCGAAACAAATATGTTGGTGCATTTTGCTTTGAGAGGACAACGGGGTGAACTTTTCATTTTTTTTTTTTTTTTTTTACTGGAGGAAGTGTCATTATAGATTATGGCCAGAAGCAAGAGTTTAAAATGAGTTAATTGTTTTGTTAAATACAAACAGCTTTTTTTTTTGCTGATGGACTGGTGTCGTGTCAAATTTTCATTTTTGGTTGAAATATTCCTTTAAATATTACATAATAACCACGTCAAGTTCACACCCACCACATCACATGGATTTTAGAATGGCTGTAACATTGAATTGACCAATCAGAATTCAGAGACAGATCTATCTACTTATTAAAACGGTTTTACTATGGATTGGAAATTCATATGAGCTGCTCAGGGGTCCTACTAAACAAAGGCCAATGTACTTGTTGTCGTTAAGTGAATATGTGTATAATATGAGTTATATAACACGCATACACTTACAAAATTACATTTTGCCATTACATATATTGGTAGGGAGATGTTTTAGATATCAGCAGTGGTAGTCGTATGGATAAAAATTGCTTGTAGTAAGAAGAGTGTTTGTGACTAATTAGCACCATGACTAAGTATTTCTCAGACTCATGTTGTATTTTAAATTCAGATTATGGATCATAATTACAACGCTTGCTGGGGAAGTGCATTTGACACACACGTTTCAAAGGGATATAAATGTGCATACTCCATGTTTAACACATGCAGTGTCCTGACAGTGCTGTTGCGAGCTCTAAACCCTCTTTTGTAGTTTGGATTATAACCCCATCCCCCAATCCCACACAAATGTTGCTTTCTGATTATCCCGTATAATTGTTGAAGTGAATAAGGGCAGTTCTTTGTACAAGTGTATGCTGTGGTAGGCTAAAACAAGCCTTTCTTTGATGTCTTTCCTGCAGCTGACAGAGCGCTGGGATTCTCTTTTGGAGCCCCGGCTCATTGTGGAGAATGTTGGATGATGGTCATACAAAACATGTTAACTGAGCCAGACCTTTACGGACAACCTTTTTTATTTTAATGCTGCTTTGTTGAAACAGCTAATTTCCATATTGTATTAACTTTTAATTTTATTCTCAATGTCATTTAAATAAATAGTGTTTTTTATATGGGAGTAGAGGTGATTGATTTATTTTTAGTGTGCGTTTATACAGTGTGTGCAAATAGCCAACAATGTTGGCCTAGGCTGTTTTTACTTACTATGGAGAGATAGGTTTAGGTTTTAGTACGAATCGCATAATTCTTTTCACAATTCATTATTGTCACAATTTACGCTTAGTGTAAACAATATTCTACTTGATGCTTTTGAGAAGGAAATTTAGTGTGTTAATTCATTTGTTCTGTTTAAAAATAAAGTTTACACTCTTGAACTGAGTGAACAAAACTGAAGCAATATGTCTGCTAGAATTTATACAATTCATGTCTTCTTTTAAATTAATGCTGAAAATAACAGTAGCGTCATCAAAAGCAAGCAACAAAACTGAAAATAAAGCGCGCGTGTATCGTTCTTAATTATTTTTGTCCTATATGGTATTGTTACATTGTGCAAAAATAAGTGAACATGTTAGATGTGTATATGCTTGAAAATGTTCCTCTATAATTTGTTCTGTTTGCACTATTGTTTCTCATGCAATATTAAAAAAGAGAATAAGGCGTGCTCTCTTACCTTGCAGGAACGTTTTATTTTAGGATCATCCTTGGTAGGTAAAAACATATGTTTTATACAGAGATAGGGTCTTACATTTTTAATAATAGAAAATCCTTAATTTTCATTTGAATTGTTTGTTAACTTTTGAACAGAATGGAGATGTGTACATTTTTCATATTTTGCCTAAATATATTTTTTTCATTTAGTACCCTTCAGAGGCTACAGAAGATAGTTACATGTTTCCCAGAAGACAAAATAAGTTGAATTTACCCTGATCTTCACCCCCCCGGCTCTTAATGCATGGTTTTTGCTTCTGGAGCATCAGTGAATGTTTGAACCTTCTGTAATAGTTTCATATGAGTCCCTCAGTTGTCCTCAGTGTGAAAAGATGGATCTCAAAATCATACAGTCATTGTTGGAAAGGGTTCAAATACACAAAAATGCTCGAAAACCAAAGAATTTGTGGGACCTGAAGGATTTTTCTGAAGAACAGCAGGCAGTTTAACTGTTCAGGACAAACAAGGGACTCATGAACAACTAGCACTAAACAAAAAAATACAGTTTTGGATCATTCAGGTAACAACACAGTATTAAGAATCAAGGTGATGTAAACCTTTGAATGGGGTCATTTTTATAAATTCAGTTATTATTTTCTCTTCTGGACTTTATGTAAATATGCGTTTTGTATGATCCCTCTTATTTTGGTAAAATTGTTACATTTTGCAGATTCTGAAAGGGGGGTGTAAACTTCCCAACACTGGTAATGAATAGTGGTAAGAATAATATTCTGACCTGATGTATGAACTGATATTCATTCAGCAGTGCTGACACCCTGAGCAAGAGAACAGGAACATATATAGTTGATAATGTATCTTTTGTTTTGAAACCGCTTTGATTGGGGATCAGCCCAAAAATGTTGTCACTTAAAACCCCTTAACTGTCACCGTCCCACCTGTGGGACGCTTGGCGCTCTTTTTGTTGTTGTCCCTTTTCTCTATCAAATGTTTTAGTAATCATCATGAATTATATATCATTTGAAAGCTTAGAAGCCCAAGATTCATCCTGTGAAAACCATTTTGAAATCGGACATTGTGTTACCATGGAAATGGTACTTTAAAATCTTTTGGCGGTCTCCTCCCCCTTAGTGGGCTGTGTCAAGTGTCATATTACAAAATGCATTACGGTCTTTTAGAATCAAACCTTTTTATAATCTTTACAAAAAACATATCACTGCAAAGGTCTGAGTCTCCGGATTCCATATTTGGTGGTTATTTTGAGATAGAAGAAATATTGACAGAGAAATCTAGACATTTGTGACAGAAAAATGGAGTTTGGATGGCACCCGGTGGCTGTTTGTGGTTTAACGCCCTAAATAAAATCTCACAGGAACCTCAATTTTTTTCATATCAACTTCAAATTTGAAACAAAACTTATTTAGGCATAAGGCTTTAATTTTATACCAATTTTGGAGTAAAACTGTTATGTAAAATATTTATTATAAATAAAATAAAATGAATACAGTGCATTTTATTTACAGTAAATTTAAACTTCTATAACTTTTTGATACTTAAATTTTTTGAAAAAATTCAAACACTTTTGCAATAATCTGCTGATTTTCTTATTTAAAAAGAGACCAGCCTTAGGTCTGTATTCCAAAGTGTTTAAATTACAACAATTTAAGTTTGGATAGTGCACTTTCATGCCTATTTAAAAAAATGGGAGGTGACAGTTAATGGGTTAATTCAAACCAATCTGAGTTTCGTTGACACTTATGTCAGGTGCGTGAACCAATCAAAGCGAGCTAAAGGCGTCCGCGTCACACGCGACGTCAAAGCCAGTGTGGCGCTCCTCCCCTCCGCTGCGCCGAGGCTCTCCTCCAGCTGGACTGAAGAAGCGATGCTGCTGCTGGTGTCAGAGCGCCGAGGCTGAGGTGATGGAGAGCGCACTCGCAGCTGCCCAGTCTCTCTAATACAGCGCGTTTAACAGCGCCTCTTCAGAAGGATGGACGGCAATGTCTTCCCCGACCAAGAGCAGCTGCTGGTTTTCCTGAAAAAGCTCAAAGAAGTGTTCGACGTGTGCGACGAGGACGCAGACGGATATATTCGCGTTGAGCACTTCGTGGACCTCGGTCTACAGTTCGGCCAAGGAGATGAAGTAAGAACCTCTCTTTATATAATCACTTACTCGTTTCCTTCGTTCTGGGATGTTTGGCTTTTAATATTGCAGAGCACTTTTGTACCTTACATCTTACAGTCTCTGGGATTAATTAAAACGCCTTCTCCAAATTTAACGCTGTTAAATGCAAACAGGTTGGTTTATCCACATATCTTGTTTTCTGTAATTGGTGCCGGACTGGTGCTATAGATTTATGATTTATTAGGCCTACTTATGTAGGTAGTTTAATAAATGTACTTCCGCCAAGTAACCAAGACAACTGTCTCCTCACTCTCCTTCATCAACTGTGATGTCATCAGGCATCACTTGCAGATTCAACAGTGTATGCATATATATATATATTATAAAGAATATATCACAATATTAATTGCACTAGGCCATTGGCCATTTAAAATTAGAAAATGTGTAAATGGATAGTTGACTTACTGTCCAGGACATGCAAAACATTTCCTTAACATGAAGGTAAAATTCATAGAATTTAAAATGATTCTGTTTATTACTCCAAGAATTCAGAAAATGATTTCATGGAAAATGTAACATTGTAGTTCTGAATCTGTTATGTTGCATTATTATTTGTATGGTTTAAATATCATACAGGATGCATTAAAAATTACATATTTATTTAGTTTGTTAATCAAAATAATAATTGATTTCATTTTTAAAACGAATCATGATGTCATGTATGTTCTATCATTCTAGCATAGTTCTTGTCTCAAGCAGTGAGCAGTACTGGATTTCTTAACTGTAGATCTTGACCTTGCATTTCTAGCTCCGGTGGTTTGGCTGCGTTGTTCAATGTGTGCTTCTTGATGGGCTGTCAATAAATGCTTTTGTCTAGAAATCTGTCTAATGGACAGTGACTAGTCAATATCCACTGCCCTGTGTGAGCTCTGCTCCTGCTTTATTGCATTCAATTGCGTTCAGCTCTCTGACAACAAAATATAGCATGTGTCTGTGGACTTTCTCAATAACATAGTTCTAATGCATTCATTAATAAATCTATTTAAAGTGGCAACATAATGAAAACATGATTGACTCCCATAAGGATTTATTTAATGCTACATTAAAACGTGTCTCTCGTGTTGATCGTTGAGTTGATCTGTCACTTCAGCTTATCTGCTCCAGAGAACTGCCTGTATTTAGAGCGTGACCAAAACAAACATCATAATGACAGGAATCACAGGTGCTTTGGCTAATCCTCATGATCTTTTTCTCATTTACAGAGACCTCTATTATTCTTCTGCCCAATTGGGCCACACTGTGTTTGTTAGGAGGCCTTTTTTATGTTTTCTTTTTAATAAGAATCACTCAGGAGAAGATGGACCCCTGAATGTGCTTTCTCATGTCATTAGGCTGGTATGAAGGCACAATACAAACAGCAGAAATTACGGCTATAAAAATGCTAATTTCCTTTGCTGTCACCATGGCAATCCATGTTTAACAATCTGAGGATGTTGAAGAGGCCTTTCCTTTCAGTTAAAGCAGGGTAGTGTTTAAGATAAGGATGTAGTGCAGGACAGGTAGTGTTTTGGATCTGTAGGGTACACAGACTTTAACAAAGATATCTGGATTTATCAGGGTCATTTTGAGATTGGCTTGAGATTTTGGTAGTATATAAGTATTTTCTCTACATGACACAAATTATAGTCTTTTTTTCGGCATTGTGTGCTGCTCAACCATGTGCAGCCGTTCTTGGCTGACATTTGCTTTTTTGTTCAGATGATTAAAATGTTAAATTGGCTTCCTTTGCACATTCAATTTAATCCATAATGAATTGTGGTGCCTCAAGGCTTTTTGACATTTAAAATGACTCTGTATAGTCTCAGTGGACGGCAGTGGATCTTTTTCAGGAAATCTTGATGTTGTGCATGGCCATAGGTACTGCATGTACTGCACATCTGGATTATTAAGTTTATTATTAAAATCACAGATTATCTAATTTGATTTCAGAAATTAATCCCATGCCAGCTCACTGAGTTGTCACAGAATGTTTTTATACCGAGTTAGGCTGTGTGACTGTTTTGCTTGCTAAACATGGTGAGCAGTATGTAGGAGTCAGCAGTGGTGACAAATGGGTGATTTTATCTGATTGATAGTGGGCACAAAGGGGAAGGACTCATCGTCTTTCTAAACCTTCAGTGCAGATTCAAACCAAAATACAAATCATTACTGCTGCATGCTGCAAACGCACAATGTTTAGCTGTATGTAATCACCTCTCAATGACTTGTGCTTTATAATGTGGAACTGTGCTATTACATTATATCAGATGTTTTAAGTGTTAGCCTAAAACATTGTTTGACATTGATGTTTTAAACATTTTGTACATGTTTTATGTGTTGTACGTCATGATTTAGTTGTTTTTGTAGGTTCTATATTTTTATTGGTAATCTTTATTTT